CCAATAAATAGAGGGTCCTGTCTTGGTCGCCATATGTAACGTTCACTGACTTCTAACCGTGAGGCTTTCACCGATGAAGCACATAAACCCAAACGAAGTTGGATCCACCACTAACCGAGGTTCTACCAGACCGGAGCATAGTGGAATTTTAAATGTAACTGACATACCTGTTGTTTTAATTTACTAAGTTTTTACCTTAAATCTAGGGGAAAAAGAATTAAAAACTGANTTAAATCTAGGGGAAAAAGAATTAAAAACTGGTAGACGAGTAGTATGGGTGATAATGTTCTATTTTATATAATGAAAATAACTGATAACAAATTTAAGTTTACATAACATAATGATGCCCGAAGTACAACAAAATAATGTCAGTTACAAATTACAAATTCTTTTATATAACATATTTCAGGTCATAGTTAAAATTATAAAATGATCTAAAGGACAAATAAAATAAAATTACATGAGGGAGAAAATAATCTCTGACACTGCTGTATTGACTCTGTTCGATTTGACCAAGGGCTAGGAGCGTATTTTTCAATATTGAGTAAAATAAAATGGTCATCGGTCAATATGGATCTTTTATACCGAGCCTTGGACTGCTAAGCACGTCTAGATTGGTCCAACACATGTGAGGTTTTATTACACTCAACATGACAAAAATAATTACCAGATGGGAAAAAACGATATTTTACAATAATTTATTAATAGTCAATGAGCAAATGTGCCAAGAGATCAGATAGAATAATCAAATTAAAATAATTAAAATATATTATTGTCATTAAAGTTATTTTCAAAGAAACCTCGTGACAAATGCACGAATAGAGGATATAATGAAATGGACGAAAATAAAGAAAAACGGGAATGCTGTACAAAGTTACCAAATTATAATTATGATGATGTCCATGCCGTAGCCAACAAATGAAACTTCACCCATGGCTCGATCGCCAGGGCCAAAAGTAAAAGTTAGGCAGCCATGAAATGTTCAGTATACGAAAGAAAAAATAAGTAAATGGCTGGAGACAGAAATGTATAAACAGCCAAAAAACATTTGAACAAAACTTGTCGGCGACGACACACATGGACCGGAAGGGGAAACAAACGCCGACATCAGTGCATGCCTAGTTGACAGACATCTGGGACCGGTTAAATTATTGACAGTACTGTAGTGTTCAGCTGGGCGTTTTGTTATCACAATGATAATTTGTTATGAAAGATTGTACAACAGATAAAATATAAAAAGGGAATGTGCGACTGCATTATTTAGGAAGATTTAATTATGCTACTGCTAAATTATAATGTTCAAAATTAGTTTTGATTCACCACGAAATTAACACCACTTAGATAATAACACCGTATGATCCGGTCGTACTTTAGCGATCGGGTCATCTCCTACGAGCGTCGCGGGCCCGAGAGTAAGACCTATTACGGGTGGCGTCCCGCAAGGATCAGTTTTCGGACCTCTGCAGTGGAACATCGCTTACGACGCGGTGTTTCGCGTTCCGCTATCACTGCACGTGCGCGTCGTCTGCTACGCGGACGACACGCTGGTGATGGCGGCAGACGCCTTGTTCGAGGAGGCTGGATCTCGTACGAACTGCGCGCTCTGCGCTGTCACCGCCTGGATCCAGCAAGAGGGGAGCGGACTGAGCCTCGCCCTGGATAAGACCGAAGCGGTCTTGTTCACAGGCAGGTACAAGTTCATTCCTCCACGGCTCGCCGTGCTGGGGGTGGAGATCTCGCTTAAGGATTCCATTACTTATCTGGGCCTTGTCATGGACAAACGTCTAAAGTTCGGGCCGCACATTCGTGCAGGCCAGCGGGCCCAAAAAGTCATGAAATGCCTGGCGGGACTCATGCCTAATCTGGGAGAGAGATGCGGCGCAGACTTTTAGTAAGCGTCGTACACTCGGTCCTCCTGTACGGGTCCCCGGTTTGGGCGGATACTCTTGAGAAGAGTATCAAGAATGATTCAAGAGAGTCCTTATACAGAAATTAAAAAGAATCCATTAAGTAAAATGATAAGGGAGGCTACAAACATCATAAATAGTTCAAAATTAATAATCGATATAATCGACCTCTTATTAGCTAGTACACGTTACCCTATCCAATTGTCCAGACCTAAACCTTTAACCCTTTGAGTCATTGTGGTATTATATTGAAACCACCTTTTAAATGATTTTTTTTTGCAATTGTGAATTGTGGTATCTTATTGAAACCACTGTCAAATAATTTGGTGGTTACACTGTATTTTTTTGTTTTTTGTTTTATTGCTCTATTTTCAATTGATAATGATTGACAACAAAATGATTAACACTTTTCACGATGTGAAAGTTTTGTATATATTTTTTGTAATTGTATGTGATTTTAAATCGAAAGCTCTCGCAAAACTATTACATTTGATAAAGTAAGTACTTAAAAATTATTATATTACAATATAAATTTAATTTTTGAATCGGTATTTTAATTATTCTTATTTTGTAGGTGGTGTCAAAAGTGTACCACAATGAACAATAGTGTCATAGATATTGAAAATTTGTCTCACGATGGATTGTTTCAAATATTTGATTCAATACCTAGTGATGATGAATCGATAGTAAATGATAATGATTTTCCAAATGATGAAGAATATTTTATTGTTCAAGTAATTAAATGGAAAATTTTATTTTATTTTTCTATGTGCATCATTTCATAATTATGTACTATTTAGGATGATCAAAGTTCCCATATAGAAGTTTCTACTCATTATATGTATGAAAATGTAATTGTCATAAATGTTCCAAGTGATCTGACAACTTGTAATGAACAAAATAATAAGAACGTTGATCGTGATAATTTACAATTTTTACATACTAATAAGGATATAGCTATGGAAAGTAATTATGTAAGTACATCTATTTGGCCATCTTTAATTTTATAATATAATATTATATATGTTTTATATATTTTAGGACGAGAATAATGTTCAACAAATCATATATGACCCAGATAATGTTCTATTAGCTGAGATATTGCAAAATATAAATGGCATATGGGAAGAACATGGTTTAATGTCTGATCACCTGCCCTTTCAAGGAAAAGGTGGCCCTAATTTATCATTGGGAACTGAAGATCCTTTGAGTTTTTTTAAGTGTCTTTTTAATGATGAATTGATTGATGGCTTAGTTTTTAATACTAATTTTTATGCTCGTCAAAAACAAAATCCATTTGAAGCTGTGACTTCACAATCCATGAAAATATTTTTAGCAATACATATTCTAATGGGTATCAAAAAGTGTCCATCCTACAAAGATTAATGGTCGGCTAATCCTCAACTTAGAGATCAGTACATATCATCACTGATGTCTGTCAATAGATTTTCTTGGTTCTTGACTCATTTACATTTATGTGACAACAATTTACAACCTAATAAAAACGAAATTAATTATGATAAACTCTACAAAGTTAGGCCATTAATAGATAGTTTATCAAAAATATTTCTTCATCACTATATTCCTAACAAAAATCAATCAATTGATGAGAGTATGATACGCTTCAAAGGAAGACATTCTATCAAACAATACATGCCCATGAAGCCTATAAAACGTGGGTATAAAGTGTGGATCCGGGCAGATCAATCTGGTTATATATGCGAGTTCCAAATTTACACGGGTAAAACAGATTCTGTGGAAAACAATCTGGGAAAACGTGTTGTACAAGATTTGACACAGAACATAAAGAACAAATATCATTGTATGTACTTCGATAATTTTTTTACTTCACTTGGACTTGTTGAAGAATTGTTGCAAGACGGTATTTATGGGTGTGGTACAGTTCGTTCTAATAGAAAAGGTTTACCAAAAAACCAACTAAGTGATAAAAAATTTAAAAAAGGAGATAGTGAAGGACGTGTATCTACAACTTAAGTTTCGTGGATCAAATGGAGGGATAATCACTGTATTCAATTTTTATCGAACTTTCATAATCCTGATCATATTACATCATGTACAAGAAAAAAAAAATGGATCAACTAATA